GTTGCTTCTTCCTTTGTTGGCAAACAAGGATCTCGTAAAAGCATCGCTGCCGTTGTGAAACAAGGAGCTTGTGAGTGGAGTCAGTGGGAGAAACAAAGCCAGGTTGGGCCAAAAAGGCTGGAACTCCTTTCCCTTCCCTAGAATTGGTATCTGCAGTGGTGTGGGACACAGACGTGGAGAAAAGTTGCCTTATCTCTGACCGTCTTGTCTCTAAAAAAAATAATAATCTCACATTGCTGTTGTGCCACTTCACAATTTATAGTTCTCCATTACTTATAGTCTCCAAGTTTTCAATATCTACGTGTCTGTCATGTGTAATTGTTTTCTTCGTGTTGTTTAAGGACAAAACCCGTAGGTATAGCATTGATTTTCTTCCCCCCCCAGTTTATGATCTCGGTGGGATGTACTGCAAACCTCCCGTTATCATTAAGGAACATGGGCAGGCTTTAATTCGTGACATGTCTTCCCCCACAGGGCGTTAATTCCATTGTAGGGGTGTTTTTCATAAACACGCAGGATTCTGACTTGAATTTGGAAACTCTGCTGACTTTTTCAGTTTCACCACGGATGTCGGTTCTGTTTCAAGCTGGTTTAGTTAAAGGAATCTCGCACTGGAGGGCACCAGCTCTAGTATGGGTACGCTAGGTTTTGGGTTTGTACTGCTGTTGCTGGGGACAATTTGTGGAGATAACGGTGATGAATCATCACTTAATACCTGTCAAGTCCAGGTAGTCACAAGAATCCTTTGCTATGCACACGTACAGACTCCCATCTTGTTCTTTGGCATCTGAATGCTATTAACAGCTGTCAAAACCTGGTAAACTATTTATATGCTTTCACAATTTGTTTAATTGGATAGTTAGGAAATGGCGTACGAGAAAAGCTTTTCTTTTTTCTTTTTTTTCCTTTAGTCTGGCTGAACATCTGTAGCATTAGGGGCTCATTATCTCTGAATTGGCATAGCAAATCAGCAGCGTCATTAAAACGCCACATTAAGATGATTAAGTTTCTTTGTTATCCAGTTGACTTTTTGCATGTGCTGAGGATTTCACGATTATGACCCCACTCCTTGTAAAACACTTGAGCAACATCACCCTTTTGTGCCGTTGTCTTTAATAGCTTCTGGGTTTTATTCTTTGTGCTCTTCATAACACTACTGTTAAACTTTGCTTAACACAGTGCAAAACTTATGGTTTTTTCTCTATATTTGATGCCAAGGTCTTGGATTAAATATAGTAATTGAGGGGTTTTCCTTCTGAGACTTCCTCCTAGAGAGAATAGCTAAGATAACGCTCTAGCTTGTCCCAATTGTTTGCTGCTATCAACTGCTTTTTTTTATTCATGCCTTTTACAGAAGGTATGCAAGCACTGTTCGTGCGGTGACTCAGTCTGAAGTTGCCACCACAGCTTTATTTTGGATTTTTTCCAGAACCCATTGTTTTTACAGTGTTTCAGGTGAAACAAAAATATTACTCTGGAGTATGTCTTTCATCTTGTAATCATCTCCCCAGGAAATGAAACCATGTGCATCAGCCTTAACGCATCACACTGGTACTTTGTTGTGTAAAATCTACAACATTTTGTTCTGCGGTGTGTATTGCCTTCGTGAGCTGCCTCCAGAAAAATAGTTACCTGGCTTGAACACCAGGAATGTTTTTTTCCTCTTACAACTTCTTTGCTTTCCTAAGCATAGAAGAGATGACAGCACTACTTTTTTCAACTGGTGGAACTTTGTTAGCGGTGCTAGGGATAATTGTGTTTTTCCTTAGTTAAATTATCCTTTTCTACTTGAAGTTACAGCCTCCTTCCTCTTGGTTAAGGTGGACCAGCCTGGAAACTCCCCAATCTCATTAAAGTACATTGATATGATTTTTAAGTGACAGATGCAAACCTTTCACACAGCTGCCAATCTCCTGATCCCCCAGTATTCCCCGTGCGTGCCAGTACACAGAGCAAAGGTCAGGGCTGAAGAAGGAATCTGGTTGCTTCAGACCTCTGCAACCGCTTGGTTCATTTTAGGCTGAGCTGCACTGATCCGTCTTTTCCTCCCGACTGCTTGTACCAAAGCTTTCTTCCGTGTTGCTGTCAGGAAGGCAGAGTAGACTCTGAACAATAATGGCCGTGTTAGGACAGAAAAATTCCAACCCTTCTAACGTTTATTTGGTTAAAAAAAGCCTTTTCCCTAGTGGCTTCTGCTCTCTGTGTGCTCAGTCCTCAGAAGGTGAATTTTTCTGTTGAGGTTCTTCAAATGCCTACATGCAAACCAAAAAGCACTCGAGCTCTGGTGGGATGTGACTGACGGCTGGAGTGGTGTTTGCTGGGGGGAGGCGGCAGTGGAAAAGCCTTGGTCGCAACTCAGGTGCATCCTTCTCTGTTACTATAAGAAAACACAAATATTGCAACCAGTCAGCGTGCGATGCGGGAAGTGCAGAGATGATTATTTTCCACAGTGGAACCATAGGATGGCTTGCCCAGTTTGTGCCAGTCAGCAAGTGCTTGCCACGGGGAGCTCACACCGGCGTTGGTGCTGTGCTACGGGAACACCGGCATAACTCTGTAGAAGAGTGAAAAGCTGAGAGCCATGAACCGGTGGTGAGAAACAGTAGAAAACGGTAGAGTTTGGAGGTTACAACTAGTCCTCCACTGCTGCTAAGCAGTTGGGTTTGCAGACAAAAGGTGAGACGTTGAGTAGAAAGTGGGAATTGAAATTGTTTCTGAAAGTACCAACAAGGTGCAGCTGCAATACTTCCTTTTACCATGCTGTGCAGGATGTAGCAAATGATTTTGGAACTGCCTCCTTTTGAGAAGGAAAACAAACCAACCAACCAACACACCAACCAAAAAGCCTTTTTTTTGGGGGGGGAAAGAGATTCTGTTGAAAGCTGCTTTCAGCAACTGGCAGTAGTTTTCCTTAGAGTGATGGAAATGGATGCATAGAACCAACACACCAACCAAAAAGCCTTTTTTTTTGGGGGGGAAAGAGATTCTGCTGAAAGCTGCTTTCAGCAACTGGCAGTGGTTTTTCCTTAGAGTGATGGAAATGGATGCATAAACTAATTTTGAGCAGAGTCTTGATAGCAGGAGCACCCTCATGCCCTCAGACGTGAAGCTGGCAGCAGAAGGTACCTGCAGAGGAATCCCTGTTTCAGTGGAAGTAGGAATCCCCGGGGTGTGAAGCAGAGCCAGTCCTGAAGAAGGTGCTGAGAAAAATGGCCCATTGGTGGGGGAATGTAGAGCTCCCCTCTGAGCAAACACCCAAACCTGTGTGAGCTCTCCTGGGACCAGGGCAGCCAGTCCCAGCACCAGCCTCTCAAAACCACCTAGGATAGGGGGATAAAACCACACAATATGGGGAAGAAAGCCGTCTTTCTATGGATATCATCCCTAGGGGGAGCACCGAGAGGGATCTCAGAATTTTCCACACTACGGTGGATTCTTGCATAGGATGAAGAAATTATCACCTGCCTGTTTCTTCCGCGTCAGTTCGACCCAAAGTAAGACAGATTGGCTGGGCTAAGTGCAAACATTTAGGACAGAGGAGTGATTTTATCACTAAGATATGGCTGAAAATTTTGATTTCATGGAAGTATTGGTTGCCAGATATTTATTTTTCAGTGCTGCTTTTATGTTGCCACCTCATTTTCACTGTCACCCATTGTTTGTTCTCGGCATTTGATGTGGTTTATTACTCAGAACCAGAGCTAATACATATTCAGCAGTCCATGTTCTGTACTTTGGAGAAAGGACAAGTGTTTAAGTGCCATATTTAACTGTCTAACCCTCAGTTTGAGAGAGGAGCAGGTGGCCATGAGAACAACACTTTCAAACAGGAAACTATGTGTTTTATCTCTTTGTGCTTTTCTTCGCTTGGTAGCCTGAGGCGTAACTCCAGTTTCAACCATGGCCTAGCTCTCGTCTAGATGGAAAAGTCAGCTTTAGGCAGAAAAAAGCTGTCCTGTCTATTAGTAAGGATTTTAATGCAAGTGCTGGTAATGCTGGAGTTAACAGCAGAAAGGAAACTCAGCAACTTAAGTTGGGAATCATCAGCTGTTTATATAGTGTGACCAATTTGCTTATATTTTTACATGGGAGCATTATTGTTAGTAAATTATTAGCTACTTGTTACATTCTCCTCTTGTCGTGAAATGGCATTCGTTAGACAATGTCTCTGGTTTTCTTTGGACCTGGCTGCAGGTCCAGGAACCTGTTCCAAGACCATGGATGCTGATCTTCATGAGTCTTTGGGTTCTTTGCCACATACTTGCCATATGACTTTGGACAAATCTTTTAACATTTCTGGGATACATTTCTTTATCAGGACATCGTTACCCTGCCTCTACTGGTTTTACTCACGTGGTAACCTTATGATACAGGTATCAAGAGTATCGGGCACTCCTCACACATTCGAGATCTTTGGATAAAAATTGCAATTTTCCAGTGAAAACTGGGGTTATTGGCTAGGCTTAACTGATGAGAATCTGTACCAAGGGAGCACTGGAAGTCTTATACTGGATCAGGCATATTTCTTAGGCACGTTCAAGCACCAGAGGTTCCACAGGAAGATCCAAGTATCCTTTTGAATTTGTGTCATTCTGTATTTCTGATTCACAGGAACAGCCTGTGACACTTGTCTCTGTAGGGGTAATTGTGAGTCGTGGGAGTAAGTATTTTCGTTTGAATCCTGAATAGTCCCCTGTAATTGCAGGAGAAGTTGGGACTGTGTTATACTTTTATAATCTGTAGAAGGAAATTATCCACCAAAGGTAATTAGCAGGCAGATCGATATTTTTAAAAGTTACCTCAGCGTGGGTATCATTAAGTGTACCTGACCCGTGAAGATTCGTGTCTCAACTGCATTTCTTAGTCTTTGGGGTTTAAGTAAAACTTTCAGAAAGATTGATAATGTAATTTTATGTAATTTGTGATGATTTTTTTCCTAAGACATTTCATTGTGCCTAAGATGAGTATTTTTTCACTTTTGTGCTTTGTTTTGCCTGCAGATGATGTGGTTAAAGTGAAAGGTGAATACAGTGAAAGAGAGGAGAGTGCTTTAAATTCAGAGCCTATGGAAAACCCAGAAGAATCGGAAATGCCTTACGCCTATCCCAGAGAATATAACGAATATGAAAGCATTAAACTGGAAAGACATTCTGGTTCATATGACGTCAGGCCAGCTAGTGGGAAAATGAACTGTGATGTCTGTGGATTAGCCTGCATTAGCCTCAATGTCTTGATGGTTCATAAGCGTAGCCACACTGGTAAATATCCCTATGTTGTTCTTGTAAGAGCTGAATACTGAAAGGATAATCATTTGTAATCTAGACTACTTATTTTAAAGAAAGATGCCAAAATCAGGATTTCCTTGTTCTGTCCTTGACGCCACTGTGATTTCTAGCAAGTTACTCACTTTTCTGTGCCTCGCTTTACCCACCTTTCTTCTTACCAGGATTGAGTGTTTGTAAAAGCATGTTTGTGAGGCATTTTAAGAATTTTGGATGAAAGGCACTATGTCATTTAAGTATTTCAGCCACAAAACACAAGTTAGATTGGTTTTGTGCTGCCATTTCCAGTCTCAGTATATATTTCTCTTCGTGCTGTACTTTTTGGCAACCAACCAGTGAACATCTTAGGTTTCAACCTGCAGTAAGATCAGACTTTTTTTTTTTTTTTTCTCTTCTAAAAATTGCAAGCTTGTTGAAATCAGCCTCCTCCAGAATGCTTATTTCCATGGAAAAACCGTGCAGCGTTTTCCATAGTCGTACATGTTACAAGAAGCTCTGACGCCAGAGTCGCATGTAACTCCCACTGAAGTCAACGGAAGGGCTGCGGGTGTTTCTATAGAAAGAAAGTGATCCAGTATCTCATTCTTTCCTCTTCCAACAAGGAAAGGGTATGAGGACAGCATGATACCCACGTAACCATTAAATGTCCTTTTTTGTATGTCATTTTAAGGTGAACGGCCATTCCAGTGTAATCAGTGCGGAGCTTCCTTTACTCAGAAGGGTAACCTCCTCCGCCACATTAAACTACATACAGGGGAAAAACCTTTTAAATGTCATCTTTGCAGTTATGCCTGCCAAAGGAGGGATGCGCTAACAGGTCACTTAAGGACACATTCTGGTAAGTGACTTCAAAGACACTTCACGTGTTTTAGATGTGTGTCACTAGGGCACTAGGTGTGGCAAATCAAAGAGTCGGTCAGCAAAATTTGCTCAGCCGGTCGAGTTTTGAAGAGGCGACGAACAGCCGTGACCGCTCGCTCTGCCTGCTGTGCTGCTGGAAGCGTCTCGGGCCTCAGCCCCGCTCTCAAGGCAGGAGGAGCCACAGGGAAACCTGCTGTCACGGCTGTGTGCTGTGAGAAACAGCCAGCCTCGGTACCTGCTCGCACTAAGTAACCCCTCGGTGTTTCCCAGGGAGTGGAGCCAGCTCTGCCAGTGAGCTCCGCCGCTGAGGAGCAGCGTGGAGACGTGCTCTGCTGGGACTCCTTCCCTTCCTGTCCTGAGCTGTTGGGATGGCTCAGGAGCATCGTTCAGTGACTCTATTGCCGGTTAACACCTCGCTGTTGTGTAGTGCCTTTCATCTGAATGTCTTAACATGCTCAACAAATGCCAGTGGGTTTTCTCAAGACTGGTAGGGTGTTCCACCCATTTCAGAGATGGGAGAAATGGAGGCACAGAGCTGAGGTGACTTGAGTAACAAGCCAGGTATAAATCGATTCATCTTAGTTCCCCCAGTTCTGCAAGAGCCCAGTAGTGCTTACTCGTTGGTTTGTGTGTATCCTGTGTTATTCAGGGACCTGGAAAGAAAACATTCATTCTGAATGATAGATGTTATCTCTGCACTGCACTTTACAGAAAAAAAAAATTCAACCTCACAAAGAATCAAAGTTAAAAAATGACGCTATCTGGCGTGGATAAATGAGATTCTGATTAAATCAAGAGCCAGCACGGCGGTGGTGGCTGTCCCCCACCAGCACAATGCTAAAACCATCACGCTTCAAACGCATCGTGTGGTTATTGTGACTGCAAAGTTTTTAAGAGCTGGCTTATAAAACAGTATAAAGGAAATCTTTTCGAGTCGATCACATTAGTAAGCGAACAATTGCCTTGGCAGTAAGGAGTGTGGTCTTTTTGCGCAGGATACAACGCAAGGCTCGTTATATTTGTGCTGTGCAGGGACGATATTGTGCCTGGGCGTGTTAGAGAATGTCTGTTCACAAAACAGTAATGAGATAATTGAGCAAGTGCTTCCAGTCCTTGTGTATGAGGCACTGGGAGAGGCTGTGTGATATCCTGAGTTACAAACAGGTTTGCTTTAGCTTACATGAATTTGGAACATAATTCGCTTTACAATAAATGCCTTTGGAAATGAAACGAACCTCACATATGGTTTTGGTTTGGTTTAACTTCATCAGTTTCATGAAATCCTTGGAAAATTCTATATAGCCAGGACCCAGGTCAGGCAGTCCCCGTTTAGCGGCGGTACAGTTGCTCTTCCCTCGGGAGGTTGCGCCAAGAGAAGCTGTCAGCTGGAGCGGGGCGCTCGGAACCTGAGCTCCTGGGAACAGTGTCGAGTTGTGGGTCCTTCTCTGGTGCTGAGCTCAGGGGTGAGGAGGAGCTCTGCGTGTCCAGTGGGATTCACCCTCACGTAGCCCCAATGTGGCGATGATTGCAGTGCTCGTAAACTTAACAGAAACTCAGGGCATTCTCCATGAGATGAATTTATGCTATTAGTAACTACACACTTGGCTGGCAGGGAGACGTGTTTTAGCGGTCTCCTGTGGTTACTTTACACTGTGCTCTTGTTTTTCTAGTGGAGAAGCCGTACAAATGTGAGTTTTGCGGAAGGAGCTACAAGCAGAGGAGCTCGTTAGAGGAGCACAAGGAGCGGTGCCGTACTTACTTGCAGAATGCTGGCATGTGCGAGGCTGGTGAGTTTATCACGTTACGGTGGCTTTGGGGGTTTGGGATGTGACAGTGCTTAAAGAAGGGCGAGCTGGTCATTCACAGCGTGAGAACAGTTTTTAGTGCAGTCCTGTGCAGTAACGTGAGGGGCTGTAACGTCTTATAAAAGGGTCTGGTGTAATGCATCCCTCAGGCAACTAGTTAAAGAATGCTTTTGTCTCAATCACTTTTCTTTCGCAGTTACTTTGAATGAAACATCTAAAATACCTTGTACGCAGCATTTCTGTAGGTGACACTCACAGTAAGTTAAATTATTCCTACATTAACGCTATGGTGTGGCTTATTTTATTGGACGAGTGGATGCCCATGGGTGTTGACGACAGCTGTCCACATGTCTCAGTCCGTTTGCTGCTTCCTTTTCTTTAGAGTAAGAGCTGTTGGTCAGGATGGGTTAGAATTGTAGAAGTTTTAGTGGCCTGGGTCTAGGGCATGGGAACGGGGCGGTACCCCAGAGATCACTGACAGATCAACTTAGGAGGCAGAGAGGGGTAAGGGACTTCTGTAGGCAGAGGGCTGACTTTGAAAAAGGCTGAAGGTAAAATGTGTCAAAACACAGGTTTTCCTACTTTCCTTTCAGTCTCAGTGCTGAAGTTCTGAAAATACTTTGGTGAAAAATAACTACCGTAACCTTTGAGCTTGCTTCACCTGAATATTTCTAATCCTAAAGTGAACTTGTGCGATTTAAGTCCCACAATACACCAGTAAGTCAGGAAAGAATTACTTCTCCCGTTCGGAGTCACGGGGTGGTTGTGACCTCCCAAAAGATTATCCAACTAATCCATAGTGGAGCTGAGGCTACAATTCCAGAAGTCAGGTTCCCATCCTTTTCCTACGCAGCCTTAAAATACCAACCAAACAATAACTTTTTAAGGGCTAGTTTTGATTGTGAATTTAAAATTGAATGTTCTTTTCGAGGAAAAGGCTAAACTGAGTTGTCAGAGGAGAAAACTAAAATGTAAAGTCAGAAAACTAAAATGTAAAATCCTTAGAGAGATGACAATGTTAACCAAGGCCCTTTAATAATAATAATTTTAAGAGATGTATTTAGTGATACGATTATCAAGCAAAGATTCTGCAGGCATCATCCCAAGCTGGGCCTGCAAACCAGTGTGAAGCCCTGTTGATACATGATGATAACTATGGGGGTAGGAGAGTCCTTTCCCTGTGCAGAGTGAGGAGGTTGATGTGTCAGGCTTTACGGCACGTGCACACACAAAAACCGCCACAAAGAAACAAAGATTTAACCGAGTTAGAGTTTTATAGGGTTTTTTCGTGGACTATCTTCTTTCCAGCAGATGACGTGTTTTTTGGAGCATTAGTAAAAGTAAATGGTTATCAGAACGTCAGCAAGTTTTGGTTTTCATGAGAACCCCTACGTATTGTGGCTGTGGTTTTATGTTGCAGTACATACTCCCATGATGGCAATCACTCCGAGATGTCCACCACATGAAAATGGAAAACGTGATACCTACTATAGATTTCTGCTTTTAGATGATCCTCATGGTTCATATTCATTTTGGGATAGCAACACTTCACTTAGCCAGAATCTGCAGCAGTACAGTGTGCCTTAAATTGGTCACAGAGGAAATGTAAAGTGTCAGGATGACACGGCGTGCTGTGCCCTGGGCCTTTAAGACCTTTGCACTTTGAAAAATATTGCCGTGTTTTTAGTGGAGTGGTGAGTTTTATGGAAAACAGGAACTCCAGCCTTTGCGAGGCATTGCCATGGAGCGCTCTGGTCCCAGCGCTGTCAGTGGCAGAACCGAGGGAGGGGAGGCTGGAAGGGCCCTCAGGAGGTCATTTAGTGCATTCGATGTGGGGTTTTTTTTTTCCCCTAAGAGCAGCATTTTGCACTTGTGTTTAGTCCTCAGGAGGTCATTTAGTGCATTCGATGTGGTTTTTTTTTCCCTAGGAGCAGCATTTTGCACTTGTGTTTAGAGAACATCGTTTTTTGATTTCTGACCATTTTCCTACTTCTCCGCCTCGCTTTGAGTCTTGGTACTTTTCTGAACCCCTTGCAGCCTTCTCGTGTGGAGCCATCTGCGAGCGCAAGTGTGCTCTACGTGCCATCATCCAGTAGTTAATTAAAACACTGAAAAGCATCAGGACTGTAGTAACGGTTCTAGTTGCTTTTAAGTACGAGGTTTGCATGTTCCAAGTGTAGCAGTGTGGAAATATTTCTGAAAAAAAAAAGGTTTTATGTAACAATATTGTTAGAGCATTGCTCAGTCCCTGATAAAAATCTCTGGTCACATTGTTCTCACTGCACAGTAACCCACCTCTCTGTTCCACTCTCCATTATTTACTGACCACACAGAGATGCTACAGGAAGCAATGCCTCTAATTTGAGCTCTGCTTTGAACCGCGGGGTTTTGTTAACGATGCCCGCATGTTCTAAAAATTATACTCGCATTTACGGTGTGACAGAAACCACACCATGGAAACAGTTCAGTAAAGGCCAAACAACGTGTGTTCGCGCCCTGGGCTGGAAGAAGAGTGTCCGCTCTCTGTGCGTCTGCAGGATGACACGGTGGCTCGGTGACAGCACTGCTTTAGGAAGGGGGCTCGTCACCCAGCGATCACATGAAAGCATCCGTGGTCGTTCGTATGGACAAATCGCATTTGCACAACAATTTTCTTCTGGAAGGGTTTTACAAACCTAAGATCACAACTGAAGTGTCCACACGGCTGCGGTAGGCAGGAGCACTCCGCAGCACCCCGGAGACATCTCAGGTGGCGAGCAG